CTTTGTGCACTGCTGGTGGGAATGCAGACTGGTGCAGCCACTGTGTAAAACAGTATGGAGTTTCCTCAAAAAATTAAAAATGGAACTCCCTTTTGACCCAGTGATCCCACTTCTAGGAATATATCTCAAGAGACTAGAAACACCAATCAGAAGGGATATATACACCCCTATGTTCATAGCAGCACAATTTACCATAGCTAAGATTTGGAAACAGCCTAAGTGCCCATCAGCAGATGAATGGATTAAAAAACGGTGGTACATCTACACAATGGAATACTATGCTGCCGTAAAAAAGAAGGAATTCTTACCATTTGCAACAGTATGGATGGAACTGGAGAGCATTATGGTAAGCGAAATAAGCCAGTTAGAGAAAGATAAATATCACATGATCTCACTCATTTGTGGAATATAATGAACAACATAAACTGATGAACAAAAACAGATCCAGAGACAGAAGCATCGATCAGACTGTCAAACCTCAGAGGGAAGGTAGGGGAGTGTGAGGGTAAGGGGAAGAGATCAACCAAAGGACTTGTATGCATGCATATCAGCCTAACCAATGGACACAGACAACAGGGGGGTGAGGGCATGCGTGGGGAGTGGGGGGCAATGGGGAGATAAGGACAGATATGTAATACCTTAATCAATAAAGATAAAGAAAAAAAAAGAATTTTGGCTTCCGAACATAGCTAGGAATAATGTGAGGTGAGGTTAAAGTGGAAGATTCTCTTTTCCTGATTTGACAGATACTGATTTTATTTGCTCTAATCTAAAAATCAAGGACTCTTGTACTTTCTGTTATGCATTTCCCAAGCCAATCTTAATTCCTCTTAAGGTTCCTGGCTCAGCTGTGTCCCATATCTCTTAGCTGGGCATAATCCCTTAATTCATTTCAACCTTCCTTTTGCTTTCATTTGACTAAGTGACTTGTTTACTTGTTTTATTTAAAATAAGTTTTAACTGAAGAATTTGAGAGGAAGAAAAAATACCTTTCTGAATTCCTCCCCCAGGAGCTCTTTAGGTTGTTATCACCTCTAATTACATAACTTTTATAATGTATACTAGTAAGGAACATTGGTTTTCTATTTTGCAAACTGTTCTCTGATTGCAACTGGAGGAAACTGATTTTTATTAGTAATAATACTATTGGTAGAAGTTAAATAATATCTGTCTATAGTACTACCTCTGTTATGATACTTTTTTTTTATGATTCCAGCGTATTTGATTTATCTTATTTCATGTTGTTTTTAGTTTGTTAATCACTTTCTTTGATTTACAAAGTGGGATATTTAAAAGAAGCAGACTTTCTGTGGGGTTCATTTCAAAACTTGGAAAGGGCTGAGAATACGAGTTTAAAGAGGTAAATTGAGTATAAAAAGAAGAATGATTAACTGTGTACTCTTTCATTTTTTCTATTTTTTGTATCAAGATTTCAGAGTATGGTAATTCTCTGAAGTCATCTCTAATAAGTTAGATTAAGTGTAGCTCTTGATTGAGCCTCATGTAAATTTCTCTTAAAAAAAAGGTTCTCTAAAGCTTATACCCTTTTTTGGTAATTATTTCTATTTTTTATTATAAGGATTTCAAACGTATTTTAGTGGTAGAGAGAACTCATATTATGAACTTCCAAGTGAGCATCACTCATTTATTCCATTGCTTAGTCCCTGCCCCCTATCTTCATATAATTATATCAAATAGCATATAATTCATCTGAAAATGTTTCAGTAAGACTCTCTAAATTATAAAAGATTTTGTTGTTGTTATTGTTGTTAAGCACAACTGTAGTACCATTACATTTTAGTAAAAATTTAAGGAAACCTGTTTAGGACTAACCTTTCACTCTGTCTTGGAGACTCACCAGATAAATAAATTAAAGATTCATCATACTATTTTTGTTTTATTTTAGAAGTAAATTATTCTATTAAAATAGTATATTGATAACCCATCTAAATAACAAGACTCATTTATCCCTCAAATTGGGATACTTTGAGAGTAAAAGGGGGCACTATTAACAATTATGCTAGGAGAACAGTTGAAATCTAGGATGGTCCTGGGTGAACTGGGCTATATATGGTCCTCTATCTCAAGGTAATATTTACTGGTTGAATAGCTAATATCATTTTTTAAAATATATTTTATTGATTTTCTACAGAGAGGAAGGGAGAGGGATATAGAGTTAGAAACATCCATGAGAGAGAAACATCCATCAGCTGCCTCCTGCACACCCCCTACTGGGGATGTGCCCTCAACCAAGGTACATGCCCTTGACCGGAATCGAACCTGGGACTCTTCAGTCCACAGGCCGACGCTCTAGCCACTGAGCCAAACTGGTCAGGGCAGCTACTATCATTTTTTTATTGAGCTTTGAATACTCAAAATGAGTCAAGTGGTAGCGAAGAGCATGATTAAGCTTACTGTAGGACCACAACCAAGGTACATGCCCTTGACCAGAATCGAACCTGGGACCTTTGAGTCCACAGGCCGACGCTCTATCCACTGAGCCAAACTGGTTCTGGCTGTAAGACTTTTTTTACTTGGTAAATAATACAAATTGGTATAGCTAGATCAAGTCTAAAATTTTTTAAGTGCCTGTAGATTTCAACTTTGTTCTTCTTTAAAAATTTTAAATTATTTTATTTTGCAATTACATTTGACATTCAATATTATTTTATGTTAGTTTTAGGTGTATAGCATAGTAGTCAGTGACTCCCCTGATAATTCTACTACCCACCTGACACCATGCATAGTTATTACAATATTATTGACTATATTCCCTATACCAGGGGTGGGCAAACTTTTTGACTCGAGGGCCACAATGGGTTCTTAAACTGGACCGGAGGGCTGGAACAAAAGCATGGATGGAGTGTTTGTGTGAACTAATATAAATTCAAAGTAAACATCATTACATAAAAGGGTACGGTCTTTTTTTTTTAGTTTTATTCATTTCAAACGGGCCGAATCCGGCCCGCGGGCCGTAGTTTGCCCACGGCTGCCCTATACTGTACTTTATATCCTGTGACTATTTTGTAACTACCAATTTGTATTTCTTAATCCCTTCACCTTTCACCCAGCCCTGAACTTGGTTCTTAATAACACTTCCATAAAGCTAGAAGTTGAACTACCAGACATAATTCACAAATTAAAATTAATCTCTCCTTTTAAATTTGTGGTTTATAGACTTGTGGCTATTAGATAACAAGGAATCTAAAATAGACTACATCGCCAATTTAAAAATGTCAAAAAATTTTTGTTATAGTTGCTAATTCACCATAATCCTCCTCCTATATAATAAAAGGCTAATATGCAGATAGACCAAAAGGCAGAATGACCATTCGCTATGACGTGCACTCACCACCAGGGACAGACGCTCAATGCAGGAGCTGCCCCCTGGTAGTCAGTGTGCTCCCACAGAGGGAGTGCCACTCAGCCAGAAGCCGGGCTCATGGCTGGCGAGCGCAGCTGTGGTGGTGGGAGCCTCTCCCGCCTCTGTGCAGCGCTAAGGATGTCTGACCAACATCCCCCAAGGGCTCCTGGACTGAGAGAGGAAGCAGGCGAGGCTGAGGGGACCCCCCCCCCAGTGCACAAATTTTGTGCACTGGGCCTCTAGTATTATATAAACTTTATATCCAGCATAATCTGAAGTTAGTTGTTAACATTTCCAGATTAGAAAACACAACTAGACCTCCCATATCTGTTCTTTTTAAGATTGTTATAGCAAGTTATTCTCAGGAAGAGCTCCATTCTATTAGTAGTGTTCTTGTTACCAGTAATATTTTAAGCAAGTACCTTTTTAAAGAATAAAGTATACATGTATGATTCCCCTGATCAGGAATTGAAGTCAAACTTCTGGAACAAACTTCTGCTTTCCTTAGGTCAGTTTTTTGGAAGAAGTAAATTCCCTTTTAGTGTTGCGATTTCCTTTCCTTTGTTTTTATTTTTAACCACTGTTTTATTTGTAATATCTTTTTCATAGATAAAAGATATTCACATCATCTAGTCCAGGGGTGGGCAAACTTTTTGACTCAAGGGCCACAATGGGTTCTTAAACTGGACCGGAGGGCCGGAACAAAAGCATGGATGGAGTGTTTGTGTGAACTAATATAAATTCAAAGTAAACATCATTACATAAAAGGGTATGGTCTTTTTTTTTTTTTTAGTTTTATTCATTTCAAACAGGCTGGATCTGGCCCGCGGGCCGTAGTTTGCCCACGGCTGATCTAGTCCCTTGTCTCACTTTTAGCTTACTGAATCAGATTCAAGTCTTGAATGTTTATATGAAAAAATTATACTTTATATACACATATATCTTAAATGACTGACTTTAATTTTTATTATTATTGATTTGAGAGAGAGAGAGAGAAACATCAGTCTGTTGTTCCACTTATTTATGCATTCATTGGTTGCTTCTTGTATGTACCCTGGCCAGGGATCGAACCCGTAACCTTAGTGTATCAGGACAATGCTCTATCCAACTGAGCTACCTGGCCAGGGCTCCTTAAATGACTGACTTTAACTGTGGCCTTTTAAAAAAATTATATCCAATCATTTATAATATATGGTATTTTGGAATTTTTTTCCTACATAGTTCTGGTGGTATGGATGTGATATCATCTCTCTATATAAAAGCCTAAGTGACTGGCCAACTTGCCGGTACCTGTGACGTGCAATGACCACTGGGGGGCAGATGCTCAATGCAGGTGCTGTTGAGCTGTGGTGACTTGGCAGCTGTGGTTCTTGGGTAACGCACCGGGAACCAGAGAGGAGGGAGCACGATTCTGGGGTGTATCACCCAAGGACCACCCTCTCGCAATCCGGGACCCCTCAGGTTGTCAGAGAGCCGGTTTGGGCCCGATCCCCACAGGCCAGGCCGAGGGACCCCACCGGTGCATGCCTGTAGTGATGATATATTATGCTTAATTTGTTACGTTAAAGAAATGTGTTCATGGTTTTGCTCTATACATTTAAGTATTTTAAATGATTTTTTCTCTTTCTCTAGCTGTCCCTTTCCCTCCAACCCAAAGGCTTACTTTGAAGGAAGTCTTTGTAAATGGGAAACCTAATATTGATGTCTTGAAGAACCATTTGGTGAAGGAAGGGCGAGTAGAAGAGGAAGTAGCCTTAAAGATAATCAATGATGGGACTGCTATCCTGAGACAAGAGAAGACTATGATAGAAGTAGAAGCTCCAATCACGGGTATGAGAAGATTTTGCATGGTTGCACTTAGGTTTGAGCTAATTTAAGAAATGATCACAAATAACCAACTAAAATGTGTTGTATTTTTCTAGGAATTATGAGACCGTTTTAGGATTGTTTAGTATGTTTTCTGTTCACTGAAGAAATACAATTTAAAATGTTTGTTATTTCCAGTAGAACTATTCAGTGTTGATAGATTGACTATAGTAATAGAGCAGTCCAGTCCAAAGCAAAAGTGATTTGAAAGTTAAACTGTGATCCCTATTGGTGTAATGCCCTTTCTTTTCTTTTTTAAATATGTTTTTATTGATTTCAGAGAGGAAGGGAGAGGGAGTGAGAGATAGAAACATCAATGATGAGAGAATCATCAGTTGGCTGCCTCCTGCATGGCCCCACTGAGGAACGAGCCTGAAACCCAGGCATGTGCCCTGACCAGGAATCAAACCATGACCTCCTGGTTCATAGGTCTACACTCAACCACTGAGCCATGCCAGCTGTCTCTTTTCTAAGACATAATTTTTTACCTCACCCAATGTTTTTTTTCTAGTGTGTGGTGACATTCATGGACAATTCTTTGACCTGATGAAGTTGTTTGAAGTTGGAGGATCACCTAATAACACACGCTACCTCTTTCTGGGTGACTATGTGGACAGAGGCTATTTCAGTATAGAGGTAAAAATTAAACTGGATGTGTTGGAGCTATCATATTGTGTTTTTAAAAAATTTTGCTTTCCATTCTTTAGTAAAAAAAAAAATTCAAATGAGAACATTGGCAGAATTTATAAATTTTGTTACTTTCAGTCATTAAAGTGAGAGAGAAATATTTTGATATAAAAGTTTTTTTTCTTTTTTTAGCTAGTAGAAAGTCTAACAAATAGAAGGCTATATTAACCCAGCTTTGCAAATAAATTAAATGATTACTAACCTTTCCTCTTTGAAGATAGTACATGGGCTATATATAAGTGACATAAATTGCTATTCACCTTAAATGGGGCTTGAATTAGCTGACCTTAATTACAAGATCATAAGCTGCTGGGCTACAGTTAAATCTTAGATTAACTGCCAATGGTAAATAAGCAGGTGCTTAGCTTATTAAAGGAATAATTTCTGATGCTATTACATATAGTAAGCACTTAATAAATGTTCATTGAAGGAAAATTATTAATTAATGAAGTTAACTTAAAACCTTACAATTTACTTTTATATATTTTGAAAATTGAATGATGAGAGGAAAAAGGTTACAATTAAAACAAACTATAAGTTTTTATGTATAAAAGAAAAAATTGTTTTAGAACCTAATGCAAGGGCTTGAGTACAATGGAACCACAACATATTCATATTTAATGGCCATTGATAAAGCTGAACATACTTGGCAAATAAAAGAAGTAATTTTGAAATAGTGTGAGTGATTGAATTTATAATGTTCCTGGAATAAGCACGACATGAGGAAATTGAGTCTGCTTGCTATTCTTGTAGTATTTAGTTTTGCCTCTCCCTCAGACTGTGAGAATCTCACTGTACTAAGTATGTTTCTGGTAGTTAAAGGTTTATTGTTCTTGCAGCATCACTCCTAAATACAGCTCAGCTACTTTGCCTGGTGCTCAACCAGAGAAGCAGCAGTTGTTCTAAAACTGCCGAAAAAATAAATGACAAGAGAAAGACCTTACTCTTTAGTTAGGTAGGCAGTCTAAACTCATGAATCAGAAAAGTTCAGTGTTATTTGCCAGTGCCTCATATTCATTTACTGTCATCTGTGAGGACAAAGGTTAATGATGGTATGCACATTTTTCCTACTGCCCAGTAAATTCCTAGTCTTTAAATAGGTACCTGGGATGGGAAGAGATCATACTTGTAAACTATATTATTGAACAGCTCTCCTATTCTTATTTCCTATTCACTTTGTATAGACAGTGAGCCAAAAGTATGGATGTTTGAAAGTCACATTGAATATTTACTTCTTTCTGTGTTTGCTAGCCATACGGTGGTTCTCAACCTTCCTAATGCCGCGACCCTTTAATACAGTTCCTCATGTTGTGGTGACCCCCAACCATAAAATTATTTTCGTTGCTACTTCATAACTGTAATTTTGCTACTGTTATGAATCGTAATGTAAATATCTGATATGCTATATGTGTTTTCCGATGGTCACGACCCACAGGTTGAGAACCGCTGCATTAGGAGGTGTTAGAGGCTGAAGAGAAGAATACAGAACTTAATGAAGTTTTAATTAGTCATTTAATGAAACAACTTTTTAAAATCCTTATCCAAGGATATGTTTATTGATTTTAGGAAGAGAGAAAGAGAAAGAGAAGGAAACACTAGTGTGAGAGAGAAACATCAATTGGTCCCATAGGTGCCCCAACCAGGGATCAAACCTGCAAACTTTTTGGTGTATGGGATGACGCTCCAACCAACTGAGCCACCTGGCTGGGCTGAAACAACTTTTTAAAAAGATAAATATTGTGCCAAATTATCTTCCAAATTAACTCACATACTTTATAAAGTTTTAGTCCATTGGTATATTCAAGAAAGCATATATAAAAACCCACAATGATTTTTATACACTACTAGAGGCCTGGTGCACAAAATTCATGACTTGGGGGTGGGGGTCCCTCAGCCTGGCCTGTGCCCTCTCACAGTCCGGGAGCCCCGTGATCAATCGCCCCAAAGAGGTAGGCCCTGCCCACCCTACTGGGGCTCCATGATGGATCACCCCTGCAGAGGGAGGCCCCGCCCACCTGCCACAGTGCCGCCATGGGATAGCCTGGGCCTGATTGATCAATCACCCCGCCGGCTGGTGGCCTCGGCCTCCCTCTGCAGGGCGATCATGGGGCAATGGCTGGGCCCCCAACCAATCGCATCACACCTGCCTTGGCTGGCATGGCACCAGTGGGTGGCATAGTGTGGCCATCCGGAAGGTTGTCTGGACAGTCATTCTGCTGTTTGGTCATTCTGTTGATTTGCATATTACACTTTTATTATTATAGATAATATATTTAGAATATTTTATTACATATTTTTGCTTTTTTAAAAAGAATTTTAAAAATATTTTTATTGCTTTCAGAGAGGAAGAGAGAGGGAGAGAGAGAAACATCAATGATGAGAATCACCGATTGGCTGCCTCCTGCATGACCCCCACTGGGAATAGAGCCCGCAACCTTGGCATGTGCCCTTGACCAGAATCGAACCAAGGACCCTGCAGTCTGAAGGCCGACACTCTATCCACTGAGCCAAACAAGCTAGGGCTTGTTACATATTGTTTTCCTCACTCATCAACAAATGTTTCTTAAGTACCAACTTTATTTACTTATTTATGTTTTAATCTTTATTCTTGAATGTATTATAGATATCCCCCCCGCTTTTTCCCTCCTTGCTCCCCACCACCTGGTTCCTGCCCTGCCCCAGGCCTTCACCACCCTATCTATTGTCTGTGTTCATGGGCAATGCGTATATCCCTATAAGTTATTTGGTTAATCTTTTCCTGTACCCTCTTCCCTCTGTGATTTTGAGTGTCAACTTTATGGCAGGCTCTAAGGATAAAACAATAAGATTCATACTGTCTGTAGGAGCTGACAGTATAATAGAAAATATATACTTATGGATAGATCTTTCAGTATAATATAAAAGTATGTATTTAATTGTCAGCAGTATTCTTTTAAAAAAATATTTTTATTGATTTCAGAGAAGAAGAGAGAGGGAGAGAGAGATAGAAACATCAATGATGAGAATCATTGATTGGCTGCCTTCTGCACACCCCCTATTAGTGATGGAGCCCAAAACCTAGCCATGTGCCCTAACGGGGAATGGAACCATGACCTCCAGTTTCATAGGTCGACCTCAACCACTGAGCCACCAGCTGAGCAGGGCAGCAGTATTCTTCATGTTGGGACCTTATATAATGTCTGAAATACAGTAGACACTCAATTTTACCATTCCTCTATTGTTGGATAATTAGGTTTGTAGCAGGTCCTGCTTATTGCCTGCCTTTTTCTTTTCCTTACTGTCAGAATTCCTATTTTGTTCAGATAAATGAAATGGGGGGTTCAGGGAGAACCTTTGATTTCAGGAAGGGAAGGCCCTTATCCCAGTGCCAGGGAACGAATTCATGTTGGTTTGAACTAGTCACAACAGTCCATTCCCTGTTGCCAGTGGATTGGTCTGGGGTAAACATGGAATCCTGTTTTGCTCTGTAATATATAAAGGAAACTCTGCAGGGTGTTTGCTTTGTTTAGTTTTTTGTTGTTGTTATTTTTTTTTGGTTGTTGTTGTTGTTGGTGGTGTGTGTATGTGTGTGTGTTTATTTTGAAACATTTTCTTTCCAGATGAAAAGATTCTTGTAAGGTACATGCTTTGGATCCCTCATTCCAGTATGTCATTTCAAATGTGTACTTAGCAGCTATTTTGTGACTGTGAGGAGATGCTATAACTATGGAGGAAAAGCAGACCTGCTGTGAATCACAGATCAAAGAGGTAGAGAGGGCATGGTTTCTTGGTGATGATGTTGAGCTGGTACACTAACCTGGGACATCCCACCTCCAGACTTCTTGTTACATGAGATATTTAAAAGTCTTTATGGATTAAGCAATAGTTAATTGGCTATTATATCACTTGTACTGTAAGTGGCACAAGGTTTTTCTGATTATTTCTGTTCTACACACTGCTGTAGTTAACATCTTTTTTAATACATCTTTGATGGTATTTCTGATACTTCCTTAAATCAGATCCTTATAAATGAAACTAGAGGCCTAGTGCATGAAATCATGCGTGGGTAGGGTCCCTAGGCCTAGCCTGTGATCTGGCCATCTTCTGCCCGCTCGCCAGTCCCCAGTCCTGCCCCGCTGCCGCCCACCCCAGTTCCCCGTGATTCCCTGTTCGCCATCCAGCAATCGTAGCCTGTGGGCTGAGGGGGAAGGAGCGGGGGGGGAACAAGAGGTGGTCAATGCACCTTATGGCAACTGGTCGAGTGGTCATTATACTCGTTACGCCGTTATGGTCACTGGGCTTTTATTATATAGGACTAGATGCCTGTTGCACGAAGAGATTCATGCAATAGGCCTTCCCTTCCCTTGGCTGCTGGCACCAGTTTTCCTCTGGCACCCGGGACCCAGGCCTTTGCTCTGGCTGGGCTCCGGCCAGAGCCCCCCTCCCTCCCCCCCCCGCCAGCTGGCAGGCTTCACGGCTCCACTGATCCCGGGGCCATGAGGCCTCGCTGCTCGGCCGGCTTCTGGTATGTTTGGCTTCGCTCCCGGGGGCGGCGAGGCCTCAAGGCTCCGCTGATCCCGGGGCCATGAGGCCTCGCTGCTCGGCCGGCTTCTGGTATGTTTGGCTTCGCTCCACCACTTGGAGCCTACGTATGCAAATTAACCGCCATCTTTGTTGGCGGTTAATTTGTATATTGCCCTGATTAGCCAATGGGAAGCGTAGCGAAGGTACGGTCAATTACCCTTTTTGTCTTTTATTAGATAGGATAACTGGATGAAAGAATGTGAGCATTTTTAAGACTTTTGATACATATTGCCAAATTGTTTTCAGAGATCCACTTTATTTTTCTCTTTCCATGCTTAACAATTTTTCTTTCCTTGAGCCTATATGAGAGAATCATGGCATGATGATTTTTCTCATGCCCAGAGCAAGCATTGATCTTTCCTGAAGCAATGTGGGCTTTGATTAGG